AATACACCACAAATGCTGGAATAACGGTACCACCGGCATTTGCTTAGCGCCTCAAAACCATCCATGCTGCAAAGAATCGAGAAGGTATATGGTCACAGTTGTTGTGACCGCTCACAAAACAGTTCCAACTAAATTGAAGCCTTCATCACCATGGGGAATCGACGGCACACTACAATGAAGTTCCTCGCGCTAATCTTTTGCTAACAATTTGAAACATTGGCGATCTACCATTCTCTAAAATACATTACAAACGTCCTCAGCTACCGAATCATTGATCTCAACTACCCATCCTTGTCCACCCTCATACATGCAGTCAACCAACAAAATGCTGACATGACCAGGTTCGACCATCGTGTTTTTGTGCATCAAAACTAATGCCGACCTCACACACCGATTAATCTCATCTCTTCCAACCGAAGTTTAGACAGCAAGCAGACTCATATACCACGATCCACAGGAACTATGCGATCCACTGGACAAACTAACCCTTACCATAGACTACTACCACAAAAACGTGCAAAAGCTGCATGGATACTACGAAACCAACAAGATACGCTTCTAACATCCAGCTAAGTGTCTCATCTACTACCGCTACCTCACATATTCAGAAACAATGGATGCCTATGCTTTCAGCAAAAATACATCTCAACCAGACTGCAGACAGAAACGCCGAGCCTAGCAGGCAACCGCTGGGATTGGATGAATGCAACAGAAGAATGATGTACATCAGCATCATCATGCATCGCCTATCACCAGACCTTCACCAGCACCACCACACATCGGCAGCGCTACTACCACCGAAGACAATTATTTGTGTACGCCGGCTTAGAGATCAGCTACCGTGTATAGCTTTTCCACTATAAAATACTTATCCCTGTAATATATTTCAATAGACCTGTATAACCTCTGAACGTGCTACCGCGCGAGCGCGCGGAATCGCGCGCCAATCGACTAGTGACCTAATAAAGTCATTCTCCACCACCACACCAGATAAATATTTTGTCTAGATTATAAAAAGTTATTTTATTAAATCGTATCAGACCAATAAAGTCAAAGGAAAAAGCATTCTACTATCATATGAATAATGTTCTAGACCAAAATATACCGTAGAAAATATGATGGAATAGAAAAAAAGAATGTAATAGAGAAAAATATATATATATATAGTATATTCAGTAGCCAGCTACAAAATAAGTTATTCCGTAGCCACCTCTATTTACGATAATTTTATATGCTAATTTACGATAATGTCAATACATATTTACGATAGTTGGGTTACTATAACACATGGAGATATTTACCATAACGTTATAGTAAACCACTTAGTATGGAGTTACTATAATCTCGTAAATTAACATAGTAATTATCGTAACTCAAAGTGGCTACAGAATAAGTTATTTTATAGCCGGCTACAGAGTAGTATATATATATATATATATATATATATATATATATATATATATATATATATATATATATATATATATATATATATATATATATATATATATATATATATAACAACGTAGCCTTTCAGTCTCAAGTAAGTTGGATAGGCTAAAGTTGAATCCCACTAAGAGCCTCAAGTCACGGTTCAGGCACTTCAATACCTGCTTTTCTAAACACTCCTATTTAAACATAGATCTTTAGGTATATCCCAAGCATTCAAATCTCTTTTTATTGTCTCCCCCATATTAATTTCGGTCTTTCTCTACCTCTCCTCATATTATTAGCTTGGCTTAGGACTCCATAATACACTAGTGTCTCTGGAGGTCTCCTTTAGACATGGCCAAACCACCTTAACCGATGCTGGACAAGCATTTATTCATTTGGTGCTACCTCTAGGCGATCGCATATATCATCGTTCCGAACTCGGTCTATTCTTGAGTGACCACAAATTCATCGCAACATACGCATTTCTACAACACTCAATTGTTGAACATGTCAAATCTTTGTAGGCCAATATTCTATTCCATACAACATAGCCATTCTAATCGTCGTTTTATAGAATTTGCCATTTAGCTTTGTGGTACCCTCTTGTCACAGAGAATACCAGAAGCTTGTCGTCACTTGATCCACCCTGCTTTGATTCTATGGCTAACGTCCGCATCAATATCTTCATCCCTCTATATCATCGATCCCAGATACCGAAAGGTATCCTTTTTAGGCACTACTTCACCTTCCAAACTTACATCTCGCTTCTCCTGTACAACTCCGTCAAAGTCGCATCTCATGTATTCGATTTTAGTTCTCCTCAATCTAAAACCTTTATATTCAAGGGTCTGCCGCTATAACTCTAGTTTCCTATTTACTCCCGCCTAACTTTCGTCCACTAACACTACATCATCAGCGAATAATATATACCAAGGGATATCTCCTTGTATGTTCCTGATAACATCATCCATTACCAAGGCAAAGAGATACGGATTTAAGGCTGACCCTTGATGAAGTTTAATTTTAATCAGAAAGTTATCTGTGTTACAATCATTTATTCAAACACTAGTCACAACATTTTTGTACATGTCCTTGATGAGGGTCACATACTTTGATGGGACTTTATGTTTGTCCAAAGACCACCACATTATATTTCTTGGTATCTTGTCATAAGCCTTCTCCAAGTCAATAAAAACCAAGTGGATGTCCTTCTTCTGTTCTCTAAACCGCTTCATAACCTGTCTTATTAAGAAGATTGCTTCTGTGGTTGACCTTTCGGGCTTGAAACCAAATTAGTTTGTTGATATCTGTGTCATTTCTCGCAGGCGCCACTCGATGACTCTCTCCCATAACTTTATAGTGTGACTCATCAACTTAATTCACCGATAATTTGTACAACATTGGATATCTCCCTTGTTCTTGTAGATTGGTACCAATATGCTTCTTCTCCACTACTCAAGCATCTGGTTCGATCGGAAGATATTTTTGAACATCTTGGTTAGCCATACTATAGCTATATCTCTAAGACATCTCCACACCTTGATTGGGATACCATCAGGGCCCATCGTTTTGCCTCCTTTTTATTTTTTTCAAGGCTTCTCTGACCTTCGATTCTTGAATTCTTTGAACAAAGCGTCTATTAATGTCATCAAACGAGTCATCCAACTGAACGGTACTGTTCTCGTTCTTACCATTGAACAATTTATCAAAATATTCTTGCCATCTATGTCTGATCTCATTCTACTTCACCAAGAGCTACTCTTTCTTATCCTTTATGCACTTCACTTGGTTGAAGTCACTTATCTTCCTATCGCGAGCTCTAACCATTCTATAAATGTCATTCTCTCCTTCCTTCGTATTCAAACGTCGGCAAAGGTTCTCATAGGCTCATCCTTTTGCCCCACTCACCGCTCGTTTTGCAGTCTTTTTTGTCACCTTGTACTTCTCTATATTGTTTACACACCTGTCATGATACAAGCGCTTATAGCTCTCCTTCTTTTCCTTAATAGCCTTTTGCACATTTTCACTCCACCACCAAGTGTCTTTTCAGTCGTATCCGCTCCCTTTGGTCATTCCAAGCATATCTGAAGCAACCTTCTGAACACATGTTACTATCTTCTCCCACATGTTGTTTGCATCGCCTTCATCATTCCAAGGGTCCTCTTCAATGACCTTTTTCCTTAAAGACCTTTGATGTATTTCCTTCTAATTTTCACCACTTCGTTCTAGCAATCCTAGCTTGTTTGTTCCCACAAGCTTGCATCAGAAAGCCGAAGTCAGCCTCCACCAGTTTATGTTGAGCACCACACATTCTCCAGGTATCACCTTACAGTTCACACATGTTTGTTTATCCCTCCTTATAAGGGCAAAGTCGATTTGACTAGAGTACTGACCGCTACTAAAGGTCACTAAATGAAACTCTCTTACGGAAGAAAGTGTTAGCTATCATCAGATCAAAAGATATGACAAAGTTTAAGACTTTCTCTCCATCCTGGTTTCTACTACCATATCTGAAATCCCCATGAACCACCTCAAAACCTGCATTTGATATACCTACATAGTCATTAAGATCACCTCCTATAAAGAGCTTCTCGCTACTAGAGACAGCTCTAACCAAGTGATCTAAGTCTTTCTAGAAAAACCGCTTAGCACTCTCATCATGACCTATTTAGGACATACGCATTAATTATGTTTATGACCATATCCCTAATGACAAATTTAACTAAGATGATCATATTCCTGTGCCTTCTCACCTCGACCACACAAATGCTCTTATCAATCAAAACTACTATTATATTTTTATTTTAAGTTGTCCCTGCAAACCAAAGCTTAAAATCGGTATTATCCATCTTCTTCGCCTTCTACCCTTCCATTTAAACTCTTCAACACATAAAATATTTACACATCTTCTAACCGCTTAGTCCACTAACTTTCTTAACTGTAAAGACCCTACGTTCTAGCTACCTCCTAAACGGATGAGTTGGCTAGCTTCCTCTCAGGCTCCGTTCGTTTGCTTAAAAAAATAAGTTAAAACAATAATTCGGCTGATTTATCGAGAAAAAATACTATTCTATCTAATAAAAAGCTAAAAAAATATGTATTATAAGAGAAGCGATCAAGGCCTCAGCCTAATTTTTCGTCTGGTATTTTTTCGTCTGCCCTCTCAGCCAAAGATTCAATCCAAATCGAATCGAAAAGGAGCTCTAAATCGAATAAAAAATACAGTTCCATGACAAACTACCAGGCGAAACCGACACGAGCGAGCCAACAATAATTTGGAAGGCAGGAAATAATAGGACATATCAAGAGAGGATAAAAAAACATAGTAAGCACCCAGTCTCCTGGGATCTCCTTCCCAAAATCAAATCCAGCACGCACATGACACAGACTTGGTACCCACCAACAACCAAAGCAAATCCAGATTCGAGATTGAGTTCAAAATAAAGACCACCAACCATATATATATAAATAAATAAAAAGTCGAGCACAAAATCGACGACGGTCAATATGATCTGGGCGACGTGAGGCGGGAAGACAACGACAGTGCTAACGAGGCGTAGACGAGGCTAGCGTGGATCTGTGGGGAGGTACTGAAGCAGGGCAGTAACGTCGGGCGGGAGAGGCCTCTGGACGGTGTTCCCACTGCCGGCACGCTTGCCCCCGAGGCTGGCGTCCCCACGGCCGGCGCACTTGAACCCGAGGCCAGCGTCCTTGTGCCTGGCGTGCTCGAATCCGACGCCGGCGTACCCGTGCCCGGCGCGGTTGACCCCGAGGCCGGTGTCCCCGACTCCCTGTGGCCGGCGGCGCCCCAACGCTGGCACGCTCGTAGCTCGCACCCGCAGCCTGCGAGCCCGTGGGGAGGTGGAAGATGACAGAAAGGGGCGGTGGTGTGCGCGAGCGAGGCGGGGGAGAAGAAACAAATCAGTGACTAGGGTTTCTGAGAAATACTCCGGGAAGAGGAAAAGCTTGGCCATCCGATGTAGATCAACTGCCGAGGGAGCTTGCGGCTCAGCTGGGCCTGCGGGTTTAGAAGGCCCAAAGGGGATTTCCCAGCCCAGGTCCAGGTTACGTTTTAACTTGTTCTCTCTGTCTTCAGCTGGGCCGAAATAAATCACGGGCTAAACAAGCTATCTTTTTTAGTGCATTTTTCAAATAGCTCTCATTTTTAATTAATGCACTGTTTAAATTTTAAGTATATTATCATGAATCAGACCGATCTTAATTTCCATGAAACAATAAATGGCCCCGTTCGTTTGACTGAAATTGACCGAAAAAAAAGCCAAAGCTAAAATGTTGTGAGAGAAAAACACTGTTCCGGCTAAAAAAGAAATTGAATAAGCCGACTTTTAAGGTAAGCCGAACAGGGCCATTAAGAAGATTACCTGCTGCTGCTCACATGAAAGCGTTACAAGGATAGGACGGAGCAAGAATTGAGAGAGGAGCATGAAAGAGCGGTGATGTGATCAAGCCTGACGATGTTAAGCTTTTCACGTGCTAGGTGAGTTTTCTAAGAACAAAAACATAAATATAGATTTGGTAAAAAAAATTATTATTAGGTATAGATATGCTCACCGATGTTCTAGCTCTACGTTTCATATGTGACTCGGATTCATGACTCATGCTCATATAAATTAGAACAACTCGTGTCTAATAATATAACGATACGCTGATCCAAGACGTATTAGGAACCTGCTTTTTTAATAGTTAAACTGCCCTGGCATCTTTGTACTGAGGATCTATTTTTTTACTTCTCAAACTGCCATCTCAAACTGATATGATATGAACTTTATAACTCATGCTAGTATGAATAAGAACAACTCGTGTCTAGCGATAACATAGAGTCTGATTCTAAAATATATTGGGTCCGTTGTAACACAATAAATTATAAAAACAAAAAATATAAGTAGATATGTACCACTCATGTTATCGTTTTGCGTGAATGTTTTCTCTTTTTTTTTTCAAGTTGTAACGCACGGACATAGTTGCGTAAAATTTCAATCTATTTTTTTTTGTCTGGAATTTTTTGGACTGGCCTCCCAAGCTTCTTATATAGACCGGTGGAGATCGGGTAAAACATTGCTCCCGAATACAAGAAGAATCGAACGCTACAGAGATGGGAATTAAAAAACTGGAGTTTAGGTACAGCGCGTTTGGAAAATACAGCAGAGAAGGAAAAAGAAATGAGACTTTTTCCTGTGTGCCATTATAAAAGATCAAAATCCTCTGTGTGCCCTTGGAAAAATTCAGCGGTCTTCAGCGTCACTACTTCAACTTTTTCGGGTCCTCCATGCCACTTACGTCAGTTCAGGCTCTAACTCCGTCAAACTGCAGGTGTGAAAAGACGAAAATGGCCTTAAGTTCAAATATGTTATTATTTTTTTTTAGTATCTTAACGACTTCAAATGAAAAACTCAAAACTAGAAAGTTATAGATCTCGTCGAGATCTATAATTTTTATATAAAATTTATTTTTATTTAATTTCGCAAAAAAATATGATGATTTTTCTAAGATATATTAATTATATCAAATCATATTTTTTTGTGGAATTAAATGAAAATAAATTTTATATGAAAATTATAGATCTCGACAAGATCTACAACTTTCTAGTTTTGAGTTTTTTCATTTGAAGTCGTTAAGATGCTCAAAAAAATTAATAACGTATTTGAACTTAAGGGCATTTTCGTCTTTTCACACCTGCAGTTTGACGGCGTTAGAGCCTGAACTGACGGAAGTGGTATGGAGGACCCGAAAAAGTTAGAGTAGTGGCGCTGAAAGACCGCTGAATTTTTCCAGGATATACAGAGAATTTCGATCTTTTATAATGGCACACAGGGAAAAGTCTCAAAAGAAATAGGCCAGAAAATTTGACACAAGCGAGACTTTGCGTTGCTGTCGTCCGCCTTCCATGGTTGACTCTTATGGTAATCGATTCGGGCTCCACCTGACTCCGTGTCGACACAAGGTAACGAGCATGGCTATCCATAATCCAGCCTGCACATGACACGGACATGGTACCCAGCAAACGATGCAAACCAAATCAAGATTTCAGATTTAGATCGAGTCCAAAACAAAATCACATACCAAATTGATCAAAATCACATAGGAGTATGAAATAGAGGGGCCACAAAACATATATAAACAAAAAAAGCCAGAGCACAAAATCGACACCGATCGGTATGATCTAGACCTCGACATCGACCTGGGAGCCTGGTAGCGATATGGCCGCGGGGGAGAACTCCACGGTTGCAGAAACCCGGAGAGGGCGCGAGGGGCTCTTCCGTGCTCTAGTGTGGCGATGCTCCTCGGTGCTCTCTATGGCTTGGGTTGGGGTCGCGGACAGAGGTGGGAGAAGCAAGAAACGCTAGTGGCGTGCGGTGGCTGGCCGAGACGCCGTTGGGGAGTGAAGGCGGCGCTGCTCCTCGTTGCGGTGGCGGAGAGCGCCGGGAGGCCGTTGGGGAGGGGGCGACACTCGGCGCAGACGGGGCAGTTTAACAGGGCTGGCCTCGCCGAGCCTAGGATGGTGGAGAATCGAGCGGAGGAACTGCTTTGTCCATGGCGTGCGTCGTGCAACGGAGAAATCAATCAGAGGATAAGACTGTCTCCAACCGTCTGAACTCAAATACGGGACGTATTCCTTCGTATAGGTCATGCATAGAGAAAAGCTATCGCACCCAAAAACTTCATGTTTTCAATAATGGACGCAAAAGTGCAACACAGAAGGCCGAGCGCCGCCCGCTCCTCGCCACGCCGGCTGCTCCTCGCGGCGGCTGCTCCCCGCCGCGGGCCCGCCTCGCCGTCGTCCGAGGAGGAGCTTGAGGAAGAAGGGAGCTAGCTTCACAGCGCGAGCTCTGGATCCGGCGCCACATTGCGGGCGAGCTCCGGCCCTGGCGTCGCCGTGCACTGTGCATGAGGTCTCTGATTTTGATTTTCACGATTTTGTGTTCGTCGTTGTTCTCCCGTTTTTGCCCCAAATCGAGCAGCCCCGGAGTTTGAATCAATTTCAGGCAATGATTTCCTGAGGATAGATTCGTTGTTGCAAGTTGAATTGCATCTCTGCAAAATTTGGGAGCATTTCCTTTTGATTTGGTCGGTTTTCCTTCGAATTTCGTGGTCACTTTCTCTTCTGTACGTAGCTCTGTTCTTCGTTGATTTAGGCACATGGGATTCTTACAGGAGCGTTACCAGAGCCGGTGCACAGGTGCCGTGCTTGCTTCCTAGAAGCAGCGTTCGTCCCTCTCCTTGCTGCCCATCAGCGCTCGTGCTCAGTTCTTCTCTGTTCGCTCGTTCTTCATTTTTCCCTCTGTTCGTTTAGCGCCGGGCTCAGTCAGAGCATTCGAGCGCGTGCGCTCGCAGGTTCCAGCAGCCGCGCGGTGGCCGGTCCTAGACCAGTGTGGCAGAACCGCCTAATCTAATGCCTCATAGGAGTGCTTGTCTTCCATTAGACACTAAGCACTCGAGGGAGAACACTAAATTACTCGGTTCCGTCGGGCACACCCCAGAGGAGAACCCGAAAATCCACATTTTTACTATCAGGATCACAAATGAGAGAATAAAGCTTACAACATTCTTACCATTTCTTACATCACTTTACATGTACATCAGAGTATAACATTTATTATTATAATAGCGGAATGGAATCATATTATCAGAGTTATGAATAATTTAATTGAACAGCGGAATATAATATGTGAACAGAGTTACAGCGGAAATAAACATCTATTAATGACATGATGAAGTATTGATATGTAAACTATGACAACAGGTTATAAACTTTCATTTATAAAAACATTTGGTAAGGGTTATAAATAAAAACTATGATCGCAGCGTAAAGGAGATCCTCGCTGAGCCCACCAGGAGGTATCCACACACAAGAGTCAGCTATAGCATCCACCTGTCACCTGCAACAGGGGTAATAAAACCCTGAGTACTCAATTGTGCTCAGCAAGACTTACCCGATAGGAGAAAAGAAAAGACTCTAAGGATATGCAAGGCTATCTGGCCTGTGGGTTCATTGCATTTGCAGGAAGCATTACTAAGCGTGCGTCCTTATATTCGATTTTTATTAAAAGCCGTATTGATTCATTAACTAACCATTCTATTTAAGCACATGTGCTACTTTCAAGCAGGTGGTAAGCAATCAGATTTTCTTTTCCATCTTCCATCTTTCATGTTCAGTTCTTACTACGATGCTAAACCGCAGACAAGCCGTACCGGATAGCCCGGCGATTCGCGAATCAATGGCCCCAGCTGGGTACCCCGAAAACACACGCCCCGCTTATACCCCAGGCACAAGCAGGACCAACCCATCACTCTCCTGTCCCGGGTGTCCAGGTCCCCATTCAAACTGGGACTCCAAGCCCCCGCCCCTGAGTCCCGGACTCAGTACGGTGCAAGGACCTCCTCCACCAAAAAGAAACCCTGACAGTCCGTCCGGAAAGAGCCGGATCCACGACAAGAGAGCAATAAGTCTTCTAAGCGCCCATACACAAGTATGTGCTCGGGATAATAAGTCTGTGACCTGCCTAGAGTCATATGCAACTATCGGTCCTTAATCGACACAGACAGGGAAAGCAGTGTAACCAAGCCATGCCCCGCGTCCACGGCGACACAACTTCTTACACCCACCAATACCTAAACCATATCCCTGCCCGGTCACCAATTATCATTTCCACCATTTATATTTTTCAAGTGATAAGCATACAGTAATATATTTCCCGTCTCTCGCGAGTGACAGGCAATCACTCGATTTCTATCGGAATCTTGTAGCATAGCATTCTACACGATCATGTCATGCTAGTAAGATTCATAGGATAAAGATATATATGCAAGTGAATTTCGTTCAACTCCTTAAAACTTAATGCACAAATATAATTTAAACTGCAGAAAAGTAGGGGTTATGCACCGGGGCTTGCCTGGGTAAAATATAATCAGAAGTTAGCTTTCCATCATGGCGACATGATCTCCACAAGCACCA